AAAAACCAAATAATAAAAGGGCAAATGAATAAAGTTAATATTAAATATTTCTATATTCATGGCTCTTATATAGCTTTCTTAACTTCAGTGGAACCCTCTAAAATGACAAATAAATTAAAACAGGAGTAAAATGTGTTGACCCTATATTCATTAGTTTATAAGTTTCTATTCTCAAATGTGAAGGACTTACTTGCATAGAAACAAAGTTTGAGGTTTACAAGTCAATTTTCATAAACTTGTTATAAGATAGGTCCGAGGTGCCCAACCTTGAACATACGACAGTAATTCCTTTATAACCGAAGTGAAGGATAAATCCAACACTTCTTGCTCAAACAGTTGCATGACAGTGACAATAAGCATGCCCAAACCTGATTCCTTATGACAAGCTACATAGCAAATATGATGGACATTCTCACATCTGGATATCTCTCAAATTCCCGGTCTCGAAATAATAGTCTGGAGAGACACGTCAGACTCCGATAATCTTGCTTGGCATGCCACGTGGGTTCCTCACTAGAGCCTATAAATACCCCCCAGGGGCCACGTCAAAAAGGTAATTGAAACCAACCCTAAGCTCCGTTGATCTCCATTCTAAAGGTAGCCCCGATTATTGCTGACTTAAGCATCAGAGTGTCTACCCCGAGTTCCACCTTGGGGCTTTGCAGGTCAATCCGAAGTACAGACGTGGACTGAAGAAGGACTTCTGATTTGGTGCGATTACATTTGGCACCGTCTGTGGGAACCCGAACCGAAAGCTCTCTTGTTGCTCTCTCATAATGGTTAACACTCGATTAGTCCAAGCTGGAAATCCATCTTAGCCTTTTAGGCAAGGTCAACTCTCCAACAACCTCCCACCTCAACTTCCACCTCAGATCCCAAATATGTTCCCTCCTATTGATCATGCGGAAGGAGGAGACGAAAACCAACCACCCAACTCAGCTCACAACTCAACTTCCACCGCTAACCAAGACGTAGTCACAGCTCAGCTTGCTGCTAAGCAACAATAGTTTGGTATCTTTCAGTTAGTATTGGCTCAGCTCTTAGCTCGAAACAACCTTGGTGATCCTCTCATCAATTTACTCAACCCTGCTCCACAAACCCCAGCTCCACAACAAAACCCTCAACCAGTTCAACATGCTCCTGCTCTTAATGAATCTCAAGGCCAATCTCACATAGCCCCAGCTCAGCAACCTCTTCCTAATGATGTCACTCGACGTCTGGACAGCTTAGAAAAACTAGTAGCTGAACAGCGAGGTGCCCCACCTCCACACCATACTGCTAACTCCATACCTCATCCTTTGAACACCAACATCACATTGGAACCCTATCTCGTTGGCTTCAAAATACCTCAACTTGAGACTTATGATGGGACGAAGGATCCCGATGATCACCTACATGCTTTCTACTCTTGCATGCAACCTCAGAATGCCTCTGACGCGTTGATGTGAAAAATCTTTCCCTCTACTCTCTAAGGTAATGCTCGAACTTGGTATTACAGCCTACCTCCGAGGTCAATCAGCTCTTATACAGAAATGGCATCTGCTTTTGTCGCAAAGTTTTCCAGTATAAGGTTGATCAAGAAAACTACTTCTGAGCTAATGCGAGTTAAACAGAGGGACGGAGATTCTCTGAAGAATTATATGAGCAGATTTAATGATGCAGTACTGGAGGTTAGCTCCTTCGACCAGGCTGTAAGAATTGCAGCTGTGATCTTAGGTCTTAACCATGAGAGATTCAGAGATAGTCTGCTTAAGCATCCTGCCACCACCTTTAGCGAGGTGAATGATAGATCCTTCAAATTCATAACTGCTGAGGAATATGCCTTGTCGCAAAAGCCAACCCCCTCTAAGAACCAAAACCCAGACTGGAGAGATGAGAATCAGAGTAGGAAACGAATGAGGACAGCACAGAACCAAGGTTCGATGTCGACCTACACACCGAGATTCGGAAGACCGAACTCAGCACCTCCACAACAGTCTGCAGGTAAACCTCCAGTTACTTGGACTCCTTTTAACTTGCCGAGGTCATAAATCTTCATGCATATTAAGAATAAGATAGACTTAAGGCGTTCGGGTCCAATGAGAACTGTTGCTGCTAGCCGAGATCATACTAGATATTTTGATTTTCATCAAGATCACGGTCATACAACAGAGCAATGCAACAGTTTGAGGTCCGAGTTGGAAAGTCTAACCCAAAAAGGAATGTTGAATGAATACATTCAGAGAGCTGAACAACCAAGATTTGTCAGAGAACAGGGAACACAGTCCCAAGGAATCCGTAATCCACCAAACAGACAAGGAGTAGGGCATCAACAAGCCCCACCTCCACTTCCACCACCAACCAGAATTATACACATGATTACAGGAGAATTGGAGGCACGAGGGATGAGCTCCAAACAAAGAAAGTTATATGTCAGAGAGGTCAAGCACCAGAACCGAGCTCAGAAAAGGAAACTTGATGATGCTGACTGAAAAGATCAACCAATCACTTTTACACCCAACTGTCAAGTCCAACGTGTACTTGTTGACACTGGCAACTCACTTGACATCATGTACTACCACTGTTTTGAGAGCCTAGGGCTCGACCCAACTCTGCTACAATGTTACGATGGTCCCATATATGGCTTCAACAACCAACCAGTTCCAGTTAAAGGGGTCCTAACCATGAATGTTGCATTTGGAAGTGGCCGAACCTATGTGACTCCTTCAGTTCGGTTTCTGGTGGTCAAGATGCCTTCTTCTTTCAACGTTGTCATTGGCCGGCCACATTGACAGAGATCCGAGTTGTGATCTCTCAATCTCATCTATGCATGAAATTTCCAACCCCCATGGGAATTGCAACACTCAGAGGTAACCAGGAGGTGGTCAGACATTGCTATCTCACTTCAGTCACAAGGCCATAGAAAAACAAAGATCAACCAGCAAAAAACCCTCCACAAGAAATCCATGACAATCGACAAGTGATGGGAGTTGAAATCCTTGATAACTGACCTGAGGATGAAACCTGAGCTGCTCCGGGTGAAGATGTAGAGGAGGTACAGATTGATGAAAAAGATCCGAACAGAAAAATGCAGATAAAAACTCGGCTGAACCCCAAGGAGAGAGCAGAGTTGATAACCTTTCTCTGAGCTAACAAAGATGTTTTCGCATGGACCTCAGCAGACATGTCGGGAATTCCCACCTCGGTATCTCAATAACAAACTCAACACCAATCCACTCAAGAAACCAGTAGCCTAGAAGCGGCGCCTCTTTGGGGGGGAGAGGTTAAAGGTCATAAAGGAAGAAGTTGAAAAACTCCTATAAGCTGGCTTCGTCAGACGGGTCGATTATTGTGAATGGGTCGCCAATCCTGTGTTGGTGAAAAAAGCAAATGGTGAATGTGCATCGATTACACTAACCTCAACCAGGCATGCCCAAAAGACTGTTACCCAATGCCAAACATTAACAAGCTAGTTGAGGCAGCTTTTGGAAACGAGAGATTAAGTCTCTTGGATGCATACTCTGGCTACCATCAAGTCCCAATGGCTCTTGAGGACGAAGAAAAAACCTCGTTCTATGCCGGAGACGAAATTTATTGCTACGTGATGATGCCCTACGGCTTAAAGAACACAGGTGCCACTTACCAGAAGATGGTTACCATCGTATTCCGAGCTCAAATAGGCCAAAATTTGGAAGTTTATATTAATGATATCGTGGTGAAGAGTTTGACAGCTGAAGATCATTTAATTGACCTCGATGAGACATTCAACAATCTTAGAAAGAATAGAATGAGGTTGAATCCAGCAAAATGCATCTTCGATGTAGAGTCTAGAAAATTTCTATGCTTCATGGTGTCTAGAAGGGGGATTGAGGTTAACCCCGAGAAGATCAAAGAAGTGGCCAAAATGGAACCACCGAAGTCAGTAAAAGATGTATAGAGGTTGGCAGGGAGAGTGGCAGCTCTTCATAGATTCATCTCAAAATCAGCAGATAAATGATTGCCGTTCTTCAAAATCATGAGATTGGCAACCCAGAAGGATAAATCTGGCAAACAAAAGAAATTTGAATGGAATTTAGAATGCCAAGCTGCATTTGACGACCTAAAGTCTTATCTTAACTCACCCCCTTTGCTGACAAAGGCTCATGACAAAGAAATCCTTTACTTGTAACTAGGTATATTAGATGAAGCTATTAGTTCCGTGCTAGTAAAAGAAGAAGGGAAGCAACAGAAGCCAGTTTATTATACTAGCAGTGTAGCTAAAATCAGATATTCTATTGCTGAGAAAGCAGCTTTAGCAATTGTCACCTCGGCCAAAAAACTGAGACCATATTTCCAATCACATCTAATCATAGTCCTCACGGACTAACCCCTCAGACAAATTTTACAAAAGCCAGAATGCTCAGGAAGATTGATCAAATGGGCAGTTGAGCTGGGAGAATTTGAGATAACATTTCAGCAGAGGTTAGCAATCCGAGCTCAGGCTCTTGTAAATTTCATAGTAGAATGTACCTTGGCTCACTCTGATTCCCAGCTCGAGTTGGACAGCTAGATTCTGTATGTTGATGGAGCATTAAGTAACAAAGGTTCTGGCACTGGTGCAATCCTACTTGGCCTAGATGGGTACAGAAGTGAACATGCTCTAAAATATAACTTTGATGCCACCAACAATATGGCTGAGTATGAGGCTCTACTACTTGGCTTACAGTTGGCAATAGAACTGAAGGTTGCAGCAATACAAATATACAATGATTCACAACTAGTAGTTAATCAGGTCAACTCAGTCTATGAAGTGGTTGATCTTGTTATGATGAAGTATGCAACTCTGGTGGCCGAGCTAAAGTCCAAATTCTAGAAATTTCATTTGAGCAAAATACGTCGAGCTGAAAATGAACAAGCAGATTCCCTTTCCAAATTTGCCTCTGATGGCAACCAAAGCTCTAGATCGATCTTTGTTGAAATTCTGGATGAGCCTAGCTTCCTAAAGCCGAAAATGATGGAAATCAGTATAGATCCTAACACACCGAGCTGGAGAGATCCAATGATCTCATTTTTACAAGATAAAACAGTGCCTGCAGATAAACAAGAAGAAATGAGGTTGAGGAAGAAAGCATCTCGGTATACCCTTGTTAATGAAATCCTCTACAAGAGATCTTTCTCACTCCCTCTACTCTGCTGCATGAAGGTGTCTGTGGAAGTCACATTGGTGCTCGAATTTTGGCTCATAAAGTCCTTAAACAAGGATATTATTGGTCCAACATGTACAAAGATGCCACTTAGTTCGTACAGAGGTGCCAGAAATGTCAATTCTTCGCACATCTAATCCATCAGCCAGCATAAGAGCTCACTAATCTGGTAGCACCTTGGCCATTTGCTCAGTGGGGACTCGATCTTTTAGGACCATTTATGAAGGGGGTAAGAGGTGTAACCCATCTGGTTGTTGGTGTGGATTATTTTACGAAATGGGTTGAAACTTGGCCATTATCCAGTTCACCTCCAAAAAGGTCGAAGACTTCGTATTCAGCTCAATCATCTGCAGATAAGGAATCTCAAACCAGATTGTGGCTGATAATGGAACTCAGTTCAACTACTCCTCATTCAGAGATTTCTGCTCCAACTATGGGATCAAGTTGCAATTCACCTCGGTGTACCACCTAGAGTCTAATGGAATGGTAGAATCTGCCAACAAGGTTATACTGGAGGGGATAAAACCAAGGTTAAGGCTGCATAAGGCCAGGTGGGCAGATGAGCTCAACAACGTCCTCTGGGCATACAAAACCACGAGCCAAACTGCCACAGGTATTACTTCAAACCTGGTTTACTTGATTAACTTTCATATTATTTTACTTCTTCTTCTACGGCTTTACCTTAGATCAAATATACAGAACGCGTAAAGCGCATTCTAAAATTATAATTAACTAAAATAGGTGAAACACCCTATCACCTGGCCTTTAGTACCGAAGCAGTCATTCCTATCGAGATAGGAGTCCCAAGCTTCAAGGTCACCCATTTCGATGAAGGACAAAATGGACAACTGCTTCGTGAGAACCTTGATCTGCTTGACGAATTCAGAGAAGAAGCACGACTTCGAACTCTAGTTTACAAGCAAAAAATAGCCAACTTCTACAACAAACGAGTTCGACCCTGAACATTCAAAGTAAGAGACCTTGTTCTCAGGAAAGCTGGTCTAACGGGGTTCGAAACTCGATTCGGAAAATTAGCACCAAATTGGGAAGGCCCCTACACTGTAGCCGAAGTGCCGCACCCAGGTGCTTATATCCTACGGAACACTGAAGGCAAAAGGGTTCCTAGAGTCTGGAATGTTAATAACTTGAAGAAAATTTACCCTTAATACACTTCTTTCAAGTGAACTTTGTCTCATTTCAATAATCATTATTACTCCCTCTTTTTATACTCAATCTAATGTATCCTCCTTTTATACTCAATCTAATGTATATACTAGCTCAATTCATTTATCTCATTAATGAGTTTCACTTCACATTGGAAATGAATTTTACTTATACCCGAAGTTAATTCATTGTGACTTATTTAGTCACTTCATTTTCTGGGTTACGATTCTATTAATCAATTACACTTTACTTTTGCAGTGATTTACTTCATCATTTTTCATTTGTATATTTGAGGTCCACCTCATGTACATCCGAAGTCAATTCCCTTGTTGTTCATTTTACTGTGTGTCCGAGGTCAATTCCTTGTGTTAATTAAAGTCACTTTATTTTATCCGAAGTGATTTACTTGAAACAAAATAGAAATCAAACATCAAAAATGCACACCAAAAATAACTTCAAAAATTTTATAAATCAATAAAAATAAATTACAAAATTGTT